CAGTCAAACCTGCTGCACACTAGCCGCTCGCTGTCGTCGCTGAACCGGTCGCTGTCGTCCAGCGACAGCCTCCCGGGCTCGCCCACGCACGGGCTGCCCGCACGCTCGCCTACCCACAGCTACCGCTCCACGCCCGACTCCGCCTACCTAGGTACGCTCTGCGCCTGCGCGCGGCGGGCCGAGCGGCGCAGGGTGGCGGGGCTGTGCCCTGGCTGTGCCCCCAGCGCGCAACAGCCCCTCTCGCCCACCCGCAGGCGCCTCCTCCCAGAGCAGCTCGCCGGCCTCGAGCACGCCCAACTCGCCAGCGTCGTCGGCGTCGCACCACATCCGGCCCAGCACGCTGCACGGCCTGTCGCCGAAATTGCACCGCCAGTACCGCTCTGCGCGCTGCAAGTCGGCCGGCAACATCCCGCTGTCGCCACTGGCACACACGCCGTCCCCGACACAGGCGTCGCCGCCGCCGCTGCCGGGCCACACGGTGGGCAGCTCCCACACGACGCAGAGCTTCCCTGCGAAGCTGCACTCGTCCCCGCCGGTGGTGCGCCCGCGCCCCAAGAGTGCCGAGCCCCCGCGCTCGCCGCTCCTCAAACGCGTGCAGTCTGCAGAGAAGCTGGGAGCCTCGCTGGGCGCCGACAAGAAGGGCGCGCTGCGCAAACACAGCCTCGAGGTGGGCCACCCAGATTTCCGCAAGGACTTCCACGGCGAGCTGGCGCTGCATAGCCTCGCCGAGTCTGACGGCGAGACGCCCCCCATCGAGGGTCCTGGCACACCTAGGCAGGTCGCCGTCCGTCGCCTGGGCCGCCAAGAGTCGCCCCTGAGCTTGGGCGCGGACCCGCTGCTGCCCGAGGGCGCCCCCAGGCCGCCGGCGTCCAGTAAGGAGAAGGAGTCTCCGGGTGGTGCCGAGGCCTGCACCCCACCCCGTGTGACGACCCCCGGGGGCCGGACGCTGGACGCCAGCGGCACACGGCACCAGAGCGTGCAGACAGAGGATGGAGCAGGTGGGGTGGCCAGGGCTGTGGCAAAGGCCGCACTGAGCCCAGTGCAGGAACACGAGACCGGCAGGCGCAGCAGCTCGGGTGAGGCAGGCACACCCCCGGTGCCAATTGTCGTAGAGCCTGTGCGTCCTGGGGCCAAGGCTGGCACGCCCCAGCTTCCTGGTGCAGACTCCAAAGGGTTGCAGGAATCCACCTCCCTGGCGCCTCCCGCACCTGAGGTCCCCCGGGGTCGGGAGTGCTGGGTGCTAGAGGTGGTGGAGGAGCGGACCACGCTGAGCGGGCCTCGCTCCAAGCCCACCTCCCCCAAACTCTCTCCAGAACCCCAAACCCCCTCCCCAGCCCCCACAAAGAATGCACCCAGCAGTGCAGGGCCCCCAGTCCTACCCACTTCCCTCTTGGTCCCAGCCACCAAGCCTGAGGTGGGGCTGACCTCCCGGTGCCCTGCTGAAGCTGTACCCCCAGCGGGCCTGACCAAAAAAGGTGCACCCTGCCCCACGCCTCCAGGCCCGTAGCCGATGGGGCCGCTGGTCCTGCTCTGTACAGCCACCTGTATACATATGTACACATATAAATAAAGTGTGTCTGTGCTGTGTGAGCTTTCTGGGGCTCACCCCACCTCCCCTGGCGGGGCAAGACATTGTGTTTCTGCCCCCTTGCCTGTGTGCGTCTTGAGGTCTGATTACCAACCAGAAGGGAGGTGAGTCTTGGGTGGACCCTTCCTTGTGGTCCCACTTTGGGTCTCATTTATACACCAGCTGTCCCCAGACCGTCAGGGAGAGAAGAAGGGCTGTAATGTTGTCTGGAGTCCCAGTGTCCACTTGAAGAAAAAAGGTTAGCAGCCCCATCATCCACCAATTTCCTTTTATTTCTCAACAGTCCTGAATCAGGTATTGTGATTCTCATTTTGCAGATGAGTAGACTGAGTCACAAGTTAAGGCACATCATTAAGGTCACACAATTAGGCATTAAACTGGGGTTCAAGCTGAAGTCCCAGCTGGCTTCTGAGCCTTAGCTCTTACATGCTCTGCTGGGCTTCATGGAGAGAAGGTTCTGTTCTCCCCACAGGGCTTCCAGGCCTTCACCAGAGGCTGGAAGGCCTTCCAGAGGGCTGGTAGCTGGGCACATAATGTGCCCCCACCCCGCTGCTCCTCTCTGAGGTTCCGATTCATGTCACCCACACAGACCCAGGGCCCTTCTGGGGCTACACACCACTTGGAGTGGTCTTCTGTGGCACTGAAGGCTGGTCCAGCTGGCTCAGGGAAAGCTATCTGGGTCACGTCCAGCACATGCTGGTCCCTGGAGCAGTTGGAGGGTAGGATGCCATGAGAGTTTTGCCAGAATTGGACCTGCAAGTTACTGCCAAGGGCTTCTGCCAACCAGCCAGAGTACAGGTCTGTGGAGGATGGAAAAAGGGCATGGACAGGGTCAGGGTCACTGCTGGGGCCCCCTTCCCTTTCTGAGCTCAGTTTCCTCAGTTGTCAATTCCTGGAAACATAGGGAATGACAAACATTAAAACTAATAGCCCTTACCAAATGCTTTACATGCATCATTTCATTCATAGCAATCCTTTAAAGTAGATAATCGGTGTCCCCATTTCTCAGACGGGTTAAACTGAGGCTCTGGTTGAACCACACATCACATAGCCAGAAACCAGTATGTGAACCCAAGTCAGTTATCTACCTCTCATTTGCTTGTGGCTCTCAAAGAGTCCTAGTCCTTATTCCTGACCTGCCCTTAGCCATGGACATACCAGGCACCCCCTCTGCCGAAAAAAAGCTTTGCAACCCTTAGTCTCAGGACTCACCATCTCCAAATTTTCCAAATTTGGCAAAGCTCTGGAATGTGTCCCCTGCCTTGGATGTGAGTGTTACACTGCTGTTCCAGGGGCCGTGGAGAACATGGTGGCCCTTGACCACATCCTCCAGGTAGGGGACTTTCTGAGCGAAGGCCACGTCTAGCTTGTGGTCATACACTAGGGGGTAGGTGTAAGTCAGCTGTCTGCCTGGAGAGCAAGGGTGGAGAAAATGAAGGACTGTTCCACATTCTGGCCTGGGAATCAGGGATTCACTTTGCCTCCCTGTCCACACTCACCAATCTTCCAGAACTGCGTGAGGGGAAAAGACACACAGAGCAGGGTCTGCCCATAGGTTTGGGCGTTAAAAGGCCAGCTGTATGCAGCAGAGGAGGTGGGTGGAGGGAACCGTGGAACACTGTGGACCAGCCAGAAGCCCCCTTCTTGGTCCAGGAGCAGCACGCCTGAACCAGAAGACAGGGATCAGAAGGACTGCTCAAGGCATCCCAACAAGCACGTATGCCACCAGGAACACCCTCCATTTGCCGGGGGCCTGGAGAAGGTGTGGGCAGTGTTGACACCACTGCTGAGCTCAGTTTCTGCAGCTGTCAATTCTCATAGTCAAAAACAAAAACAATATTAATATAATGAGGAAGCAGATGTCCAGAGTCTGACAGAGCACCCCCCCCCACCACCACCCCATCCCTGGGCAGGGCAGGGGTTAGCTGGGGAAAATGCATAGGAAAACCAGAGCCCTTCCCCAGCCCCAATCCGGGACTCACCCTTTGTGTGCCCCCGACTGGACAAGTCCTGAGCCCCACTGGGTTTAGGTGGCTGGTCATTGTATAGCAGGAAGGCGAGCTGGGGGGAGATGGATGGGGCAACTTTAAATTTCCCTCCAGGCTGGGCCCTAGCGTCTCATCCCAGGTTCAGCCCAGGCCCCCCTTCACCTGGCTGGCATTCTGGTACAGCGGCAGCAGGCTGCGGCCCACTGCCCCCGCCGAGCTGTTGATGGACCCCGCGCCGTCGCGCCAGCCCCCTGAGTCTTTATCCATGTACTTGTATCGCAGTCCGCTCTGCGCCGCTTTCCCGGGCCCGCTCTGGGCTGGCAGCTTGTAGACCACGAACCTCGAAGTTGAGGAATGGGAGAAATGGAGGGAGGGGAAGAGAGGGAACCCTGGCTTCACCCAGTTGCCGTGCACCCCCCCAGGCCGACCCCGGGGGATGGTCGGCGCCTGCGCACTCACCAGTCCACAGGCTGCCCCGAGTCCCCGTAGCAGGTCAGGGTCCTTACAGGGACCCACAGCAGCGCGGCCAGGAGCATCGGGTTCAGCGTGGCCATGGCGCTTGGGTCCAGGAATCTGTGTTGGGGCCCGGGACGCCAGGTCACAAGCTGGGCCGGGCCGGTCCCTAGCCGACTTTCACTTCCCCAGACAGGCGTGGGAACCCCAGCCGGAACCTCACGAGGATGGAGACTGCCCGCGAGACAGAGAAGCTGAGATTTGAAAGTCAGTTCGGGGCCCTCCGGGGGCGGGGCTTCCTTTCTGACGGTCACTCCCCTCGGGCACCACCTCGCGCTTCCGGCGGACTCAACTCTTGATATACTCCACCCGCCCGTCCGGCTCAGGCCACGCCCCCTATGACCCTCTCCCGCCTCCGACTCCTTTCCTGGCCAATCATAGCTCACATCCCTCCGCTAGGCCCCGCCTCCGTCTCGTTCTGTGGCTAGTCTCAAAACTGCTCTCTTCCGCTAGCACCCCGCTGCTCTGGCTCCTGGGTCAAACGCAGATTTGGATTTTTTTCCTTTCCTGTCTTAACAACCTGAAGTCTAACTCTTGTGAACTTTGCTCTTTTAAGGGGCGCTTGTGCTCCTGATCCTCCCCCTTTTTATTCCACATGTTTTCCTGGGGCCTCCTGAGATAGCTATTCAAGGGAATATTTTGGATCGGGTCACGGTGGAGGGTGATGGGGCCAGGCTGAGGGCTGGGGACCCAGGGAGACGGTCCCAGTGAATGTACCTGGGGTTCAAGGCAGGAGACAAGGACAATTTAGGCTAAACTGGGGGTGTGACCGGGAGGGGCGGCAAAGCCTTCAGTGCCAAGAGGGGTCGCTGAAGTTTACATGAGGGTGTGAAGGTGTGTATGGCCCCCCAATCTCACCCCGAGAGTAAAGCTTCCTCCCATCTTCCAGCACCCAAAACCCACAAAGTCAGGCCAACGCTGAACCTTTATCTGCGAGGGGCATTAGTACAGGACCCGTTATAACCATTCACAGCAGATCCAGCCACTATGCAGAGCTTCATTAGTCAAGGTGTGAAACCCCCCTTCTAGGCCCAGGGTCTTTGGGAAGCCTCACCCCACAACCACTCCCACTGCCCAGGGCCTCTTGTAAGCTGGTCTGAGGGTCCAGCTCTCTGAGGGTCTGTCTCTCTGTCCGAAAGGTCTGAGTGTCCCACAGAGTCCGTTTATTTGGAGGTCTCTCTCTCTTGCTGTATCTGTGTAGCTCTGTGGCTGAGGACGCGTGGGAGCTTGGGTTGGAGGTTCCCCCAGTCTGTCTATGGGCCAGTCCTTGATCTTTGGGTGGATCTGTGGGGCCGCGAATCCAGGAGAGGGTCCGTCCGAGGGAAAACCACCCTGTGTGGATCTGCTGTTGTTCCATCCCCAATCCCCTGGAAGGGTCCAAGTGTTGGGGCAGGGCTCAAAGATGACGCTTCATGTGCAAGGCCAGGTGATCGGAGCGTGAAAAAGCGCGCGGGCAGAGCTGGCAGCGGAAGGGGCGCTGTCCAGTGTGCTTCCGGTAGTGGCGGGTCAGTTCGTCCGAGCGCGCGAACCTCCAGCCACAGCCGTCCCACGTGCAGGCGTAGGGCTTCTCCCCTGGGGGATGGGTGGGGGACGAGGAAGCCTTGAGCGCCACTGTCCGCCCCACCCCTCCCCCGTCTGCCTCTGCATCTATCTGGTCGCACTCCTTTGCTCACCCCTGGTCCGTACTGGGGTGAGGCAAGTGAGGCGCCCCAGCACGCAAAATGTAGGGAGGCGCTCACTCTCAGGGGAAGGTCCTGATTCTGCACCCACGTCCTGCCTCTGCGACCTCGACCCCTCTGTACCTGCATTTGGCACCAAACCCGTTCTCATTTCCTGGACCCAAGTCGTGTCCCCTACCCCACTGGCTTCATTTCCTGTTCCCTATTACCCTGCCCCGGAGTCCTAAAGCCATCCCCACCTTCGTCCTTTGGCTTGGCTCCCTGTGTTCCAGCCCCTCCCTGGGGACCCTCCAGCAGCCGCCTAATTCTGCCCGCCCCCCCCGCCCCTCCCCCGGCCTTGACCCTTGGGCCTCGAAATCCAGGCCCTGTCCCCGGTGATTGTTCTCTCCCCAGGCTACTCCTGGCCTCTCCCCCCATGCGTCTCTGCACAGGAAGGTACACGTGGCCCTGTGGGGATTCCTACTAAATTTAGGCTTCACCCTTCCTCCTCTCCCCAGCCTCTATTCCACAGCCCCGCCCCGTCTTAGGATCCCTGGGACCCGGCTTTCTCCTCCGATGCCCACCCTCCTTTCTAGTCCCTCTACGGTCCTGGACCTGCCTCGGCTTCTGGGCTCCGGAAACTGACTCTGGCCCTGCCTCTCCTCCTCAGTGCGGCCACGCCCCCTACAGTCTGGCTCCGCCTCCCCGGCAAGCAACCCAAGCTTTATACTCCTGGCCGCTAACCCCCGCTCTCCGTTGGCCCCACACCTGAACCCTCTGTCTTTGACCCCGCCCCTGGCATTCCAAGCTTGCCCCCTCTCCGCAGTCCCTCCTCTAGCCCGCCCCCTTTGTCACTTGCCAGGCTTTCTGCTCTCTGGCCCTTCTCCTGCCCAGGTCTTAGCCGTCTGTTCCCTGAGACGCTCCTCAGGTTCCCCAGGTTGTCTCCGTGCCCCTACCCTGCTCCCGGGGTCCCAGGCCGGCTCCCAGCTCCCTCTGCCCTGCTCGTGGCTCCGAAATTCTGCTTTAGCTCCGCCACTTGCTCGGGTTTTCCAGCTCCCCAGCCATTCTCTGGTCCTGAGGCCCATCCTCCAGCCGCGCGCCCCACTCCCTCACCTGTGTGCGTGCGCAGATGAGCCTTTAGGTGTGAGCTCTTGGTGTAGCTCTTCCCACAGCCCGGGTGCGTGCATGTGTGCGCCGCCTGCCTCTTGCGCGCCCACGATCGCCGACTGCGTTTGGATGGCGCCGCGTCCGCGATCCCTCCTGGGTCTCCTGCGGTTCCCCGGAGTCCTGCACCCGCCGTCCCGGGTCCCAGACAACTCAAGAAAGAGGGGGGTGATGTGGGGCCGGGCGCAGGCACCGGGAGCCCGCGGAAGAGCTGGAAGTGCCCTTGGTACTGCGGCACCGGGTACAGCGCTGGGTACCCGGACAGCAGCCCGTAGGGGGCGCCTGGCGCCGTGGGCACTGAAAGCCCGGTCCTCGAGAAGTAGCTGCCGGAGGAGCCCGCACCTGGCCCGGGGTACACCGGCTGCAGCGGCAGTGCCTTGGGCTCGGGGGCTGGGCCCAGGGCTGAGCCCGCGAAGGCGTCCGGGGCCGGGGCTCTTGGGGCCGGGCGTGCCCAGCCCGGGTGCTCCTCGGGACCCAAGAGCCCAGCCAGCCCCGGGCCGCCCACATACGGGCTGGGAGTCTCGGGTGGCGGCGGCGGCAGCAGGGGCGGCGGCGGGAACTGCACCCCGGAGCACTCGCCTGGCGCCACAGCGCAGGTTTGGGGCGCGCCGCCCGGCTCTGAGCACGAGAAATTGGTGAGAAGGAGATCCAGATCCCAGGCAGTGGCCGAGTCCCTCTCGCCGTCCTCGTCCTCCCTGGGCGTGTCCTGCAACTCCGGCCTCACGTGGAGGGGCAGCCCGGTGGGATCAGGGCGACCGAGACCCAAGTCCTGCACCTCCTCAGAGCGCCACCACTGGGGAGGGAGCCGGTAGCGTGAGGCTTCGGTGGACACCAGGGTACCCTGCCCAGAGACGGAAGGGGCTGGATGCCCTAATGGGGGCAGGCTGGCCAGAGGCTCTGGAAAGGGGTCTTGGTTGCTTGTCTGTCATATCAGTCTGTCCCCCTCCCTTACACTGCACACTCCCTCCAGCCCCTCCAAGTCCGGGGACCAGAGGTCGATGGGTCTGGCTGGAGACCCAAGATAAGACTGACATTATCTGGAGCCACACTCAGGCACGGGGGAAGGGGGGGGGGAAGAGCTAGGCATGGAAGGCTGGGTGGGGGGCAGCCTTGCCTCAGTTTCCTCCAGGCTCTCCCTCTCCTTCCCTGTCCCCCCAAAAATTAATTCCCAAGATTAAATTCCTGCATTTGCTGTTTCCCCCTGATATCTGGGGTTGTCTTACTGTGGACTGCTGCAGTGTTCAGCTTTGAACCTCAGGTTCTTTTTTCTTTTCTTTCTTTCCTTTTTCCTTTTTTCTTTTTTCAAAGTAAGCTCTATGCCCAACATGGGGCTTGAACTCACGACCCTAAGATCAAGAGTTGCATGTTCTACCTACTGAGCCAGCCAGGTGCCCCTCCAAGCCTCAGTCTTATATGACAAGAATAGGTCCTTAGACCAAGTTCAGACTCCTGGCCTGGGCTGAGGACCCCCAGCCTTGGGTAAGATGCAGAGCAAGATGCAGACTAGACACCCCCCCCAAGCTCTAACCACAGCCCAGGACCCCAGCCAGCCCACTTACACCCCACCTGGCCCCACCTTGAGAAAGTCCTCCTGTGTGTCCGGGAAGGGGCCCAAGGTGGTCAGCGTGCTGATGGAGGGCAAGGCGGTCTCAGCTGCAGCCATGGCCGGCTGGTGCCCACCCTGGGCCTCAGGCCTCCTCTCCCTCCGTGGCCTCGTGGGCTCTGAGACACCAATGGCCCCTTGGAGGGCTCCTCTCTGCCCTCAGCTGATTGGCTGCAGCCCCTGATAAGAGGCAGGCAAGGCGGGGGTCACTGTTTCTGGGGAAGAGACCTCATCTCAGCCTGCTTAAGGGCTGGGCCTTAAGGACTGACCCCATATAAAAAGCCAAGTCAGAGGTTCAGGGGCTGGGGGCTCAGAGGTTGAGGGTTCAGGTGTTGGTAAAGCGAGGCACTGAGTCCCCACAAAAGGAGAGACTTGGTGCCCTACTCTTAGTTATCTTCCTGTAGAAGGGGTAACAGACAGAATGGGGATCCCGAGAAGGGGCTTTGAGACACCCTTTCCTGTGACCGGGGCCCTGTAGCTCTCCCCCTCCCCAATAAACAGCAGCGACCGTGCTGATGGCGGGACTTGGCATGAAGTCCCTGCCAAGCCAAGCATTATCAGACACCCCAGATGTTGGAGCCTGCTATCAGGTGGGAGCCCAGAACAGCCGAAGCTCTGTTCCCGATGAGTGGGAGGGTTGGGGGCTGGGGCTTCTCGTTGGGTTGGTTTGAAATTGCCTGGATTGTGAGTTCGCAGGGCCTGAGCCCAGTGCCAGGAGGACCCCCTCCCAATCAGCCACCAGCTGTCGACCATGGACCCTCTGCGGGGTGCTGTGTGGAGTTGGGCTGTGTTGTGGGGGGGAGGCTGCTGTGACCACAGTTGCTCCGGTGTGATGGGGCCGGCGGGGGGGGGGGGGGGACCCCCTCTGCGGGGTGAAATGGGACGGTCGGATCATCAGGCCACAGGAAGTACCTGAGGATGTACAGGAGACCCTCAGCAACCCCTGCTCTAGGACTGGCTGCTCTTTGATTGCTGCCCCACATGGGGGGGGCAGGGTGGGGATCCAAGCTTCTACACCAGGGACCTCCACTGTTGTGCCCTGGGAACCTGGGTGGATGCTACGGACACATCATAGACACCTAGTTCACGGTCATATCCACACACAATAGGCAGTTACATAGTGACACAGATTCCTGGTCCCTCAGTCACACAGACCATATAGTCCCTGCACATGGAATTGTGCGTCTGCATATCATGTAGACAATGCACAGACACCCAATTCCCAGGCACAAAAACACAGCTATACGCTGCATTGGTTACACAATGATATGGTCACACAATCTCTCAGACATAGAATTCATAATCCCACAGACAGTTACCGCCACAATCACACACTGTTCCAGAAACACACAGGAACGCACAACCACTCACAAACACACGATGATGTAGTAATGCACACAGCTATACATCAGACACAGCCATGCATGGCACCATATAAAACCTACCACCTTACATATTCAGGCCCCCTGTCACGGTCACAGTTTGTAAGTGGTCACACAATTGCACAGCTACCAATGCCCAACCATAGGGGGCACGGCCAGTCAAAGACAGACAATCCTGCCAACACAGAATCTAACACTCTGATAGTGAAAAGCGCACAACCTTGCCCAGATGTAGACACATTACCACAGACCCACAATCAGAGTTGGTGCATCACAAACGCATCGCACAAAAAGGCAAAATATTATCATGTGCCACAAAGGGAGGGGGAAGCAAGTAATATAAAAGCCAGCTCAATGCACCCACTAAGATGGACATGTAGAGAGAAATTGGAACCCCGTAAACTGCTGGTGGGAATGGAAAATGCAGCTACTGTGGAAAAGTCTGGTGATTCTTCCAAAAGTTAAACAATCCAAAAGTTGGAGAAGAGTTACCATATGACCCAGCAATTCCTCTCCTAGGTATATATCCCAAAGAATTGAAAACAGGTAGTCAGGGACGCCTGGGTGGCTCAGTTGGTGAAGCATCTGCCTTTGCCTTGGGTCATGATCTCTGGGTCCTGGGATTAAGCCCCGCATCGGGCTCCTTGCTCAGTGGGGAGCCTGCTTCTCCCTCTGCCTGTCACTCCCCTGGCTTGTGCTCTCTCTGATAAATAAATAGATAAAATCTTTAAAAAAAAAGAACAGACATAAAGATAAGTGGCTGCCAGGGGCAGGGGGAGGAGGAATGGGGAGTGGCTGCTAATGGGTACAAGGTCTCCTTTTGGAGTGATGGAAATGTTCTGGAATTAGATAGAGGTGGTGGTTGCACAACATCGTGAATGTGCTAAATTCCAGTGAATTGTTCACTTTAAAATGGTTCATTTATGGGGGCACCTGGGTGGCTCAGTTGTTGAGTGTCTGCCTTTGGCTCGGGTCACGATCCCAGGGTCCTGGGATCGAGCCCCACATCGGACTCCTGCTTGGCGGCAGGCCTGCTTTTCCCTCCTCAATTCCCCCTGCTTATGTTCCCTCTCTCGCTGTCTCTCTCTCTGTCAAATAAATAAATAAAATCTTTAAAAAAATGGTTCATTTATGTTATGTGAATTTGGCCTCAATAAAATAAAACGGCTGGAATTAGTGGGTTCCTGGAGAAGAAAGCAGAGTCTCTCTTGGGGAGAGATCGCCTTGGTTTGGGATGAGGCACTAAACAGGCCTGTGTGGCTCTAAAATGGGAGGCAAGAAGAGCGGGGGGGAATTTGGCTGGAAGCATTTGTGCTCTAGGAGCCTGTGGCCAGGAGGGATGATGACTTCCCAGTGTGGCAAGGCCTGAAACTTAGTTTGGGTTTCCTGGTGTGGATACTGACATCACCCTCTGACACCCACACCAGCTTCAGGGTAGGGAGCTTTGGGAAAGGAAGGGGGCGGGGGAGAGAGGCCACTGGCTGCAGAAAGGAGGTGACCAGAAGAATGAGAGCCATGCAGAATCAGGGACATCTCAGGGTGGTGATGGAATCCCTACTGTGTGAGGAGGAGGGCTCAAACTGTTTCATATGGATGTTAAGGGCAAGAAGGGCCCAGAAAGTGGGAGAGTCTAGGGACACCCAGGTTCCAGGCACTTGGGGACAGGCAGGCCCGTGATCACATTCAGAACACAATCCCACTGTTACTCCCAGCACACTCATTCAGAGATGGTATGTGAGGTAGAACATGATATACACACAATTAGCTAGAATGTCGATGTGGGGAGATGTGCTCCTGGTGGGCAGGAAGGGGCCTGGCCTGGGAACCAGGCTCTGCATTTGGCCCATGGTAACCTTGAGCAAGATCATTCTGCTTTCTGGGCCTTACTTTCCCCACCTGGGAAAAGGCCATGTCATGCTAGATATGTGCCTTTTAGATACAGCGATGGTCAAGCACAGTGCACCCAGATTCAAATGCACATCACACAAATGCTCATCAAAGTGACTAGGTGAGCACAGCCACTCACTCAGGCATATACTCATATCGCACTCACAGTCCTGTCCAAGTGCACACAGACCAAATCACACTGACACATGGAGGTAGACAACCACACAGACATACACACAAATATCCAGTCATGTTGTCACAAAAATAATAGCCACACCTAGAGAGAAAACCATCACAACACAGAATCATTCATACAGACATACGATCGCACGGAATACCATTACACAAGCTTACAACTACACAGACAAGAAACCACAAAGACATTCAGGCACATAGCCACAGCCAGTGACAATGGCACACAACCGCCCACAGACAATCGCCCCACAACGTCGTAGGCACACCCACATACAGATACATAGTCAGTCCCGCACAATCACAGACCTAGATGCAGGAAGCAACAGCGCACGGTAATCACTACAAGTCACACACACCGTCGCCCAGGGCTACGTGTGCTTCCTGGGACGGGCTGGCAGCTAGGTTGGGCTGAGATCGCCCACTGGAGCCCGCCTCTCCCCCTGCTCCCCACAGCAGCCTTTAGAGGCGGCATCAAGGTCTGCCCTCCAGGCTCCCAGGACTCATTTTTCTTGTGCCTCAGTTTCCTCATTTAACTCCAAAATTCCTCCGTACACGGCCCCTGCAACTGACCAATCAAGCGTGGGCCAAGCCCCCTCCTAGGGCCAATCAGGACAGGAGCACAGCAGGCCAATTGGCTTGGCGCACTCACCTTCCGCCCCTTTCCTGTTCTGCTTCTTAAAGCCTCTAATATGCCTTCGCCTCGGCTCTCACGTCTCCACAGGCAAGGCTGCCGTGGCCCTTTTAAAAAGCAGAGCCGCGGAGGAGCCGGGTCTTAGCACACACCAATGAGAAGCCCCATTCGGCATCCGCCCCTCCCACCCCCTCCAGAGGTCAAAAGTCTTACTGTGGCCTGTACCGTGAGCCGGGAAGCGCTAGTTAAGCACCCGCGAGAGGGGCGAGAGGGGCGAGAGGGGCGAGAGGGCCGAGAGGGGCGAGAGGGGCGAGAGGGCCGAGAGGCGCCAGGGCCCAGGCCCGCCGGTGGGAGCCATTCCGCTCTGACGCCCCTCCTCCTCCAGGTTGGCCGTGGTTGCTCCGCTTGCCCGCCCGCTGCCCAGATGGCCCTGAGAAAGGTCTCGGAGCGGCTGTTGAGCCGTGGACCAGGCCTGAGCTTCCTGCGCGGGTGGGGCTCGGCGGCGGCGCAAACTGGTCAGTGTCGGGTCGGGGGCAGGGTGGGGAGGGTGGAACTGGAGGCTCGGGGGACTTTTCCGGAGTGACTTTTCCGTCCTGTGTTTGCAGAAAAGGGCGGGAAGACACAGAAAGGAGCGACTAAGTGTAAGGATCCCTCCTTGCGCCAGGCGTCTGCGGCCCTTGTCCAACTGTCTGCCCAGGGTGGGCTCTGTCCCAGAATCCGAGGGCTGCCCTGGAGGGGAGGCAGGGCGTGGCCAGGGCCAGAGGTAGAGTTTCCCGGAGAAATGCCGTCTTGCCAGTGCTTTTTACTGCCCACATCCACCAGGAGCCAGTTGGGAGTCGCGGAGTGGGGCTGAGGATTCCAGGAGAGGAGGGTGCGGTGGTCGGGTGGGCTGGGCCGAGTCAAGCCCCCTCCCACTCTCTGCTCTCTGTCCCAGCCTCGCGTCCTGAATTTGACTGGAGAGACCCGCTGGTGCTGGAGGGGCAGCTGACAGCGGATGAGATCCTCATCAGGGACACCTTCCGCACCTATTGCCAGGAGCGCCTCATGCCCCGAATCCTGCTGGCCAATCGCAACGAAGGTGCTCCGGCGGGCGGGTGGGCACCCTCCACTATGCACAACAGCTCTCCCTGCTTTAGCTGGGTCCTGGGCCCCCTCTGTCCCTGGGATTGGGGCTCCAGTGGGCTAGGGCTGGGCCTGAGTTTGGGCATCTGTCTTTTCCAGTTTTTCACCGGGAGATCATCTCAGAAATGGGGGAGCTTGGTGTGCTGGGCCCCACCGTCAAAGGTAGGGACAGATTTATCTCCACACTCTGCAGTCCCCACTGTGTCCTGGAAAGCCCCTTCTTATCCCTGAGCCTGAGTTTCCCAGTCTGCAAAGTGAGGCTGTTAGTTATCCCTCCATCTGAAAGTAGCTGTGAGGAAAAATGAATAAACCTTCAAACTAGGGCCAGCTTGGTGCCCCCTCCTTGGGCACCCCTATATAGCTCTGTCTCTTGGGGCCCAGTAATCACACTGGTCCCAGCTGGGCAGGACTTTTCTCCCATTGCCCTATCTTCCCTCCACCTCCCCCCCGACCAGGGTATGGCTGTGCTGGAGTCTCGTCTGTGGCCTATGGGCTCCTAGCCCGAGAGCTGGAGCGGGTGGATAGTGGCTACAGGTCAGCAATGAGTGTCCAGTCTTCCCTTGTCATGCACCCCATCTACGCCTATGGCAGCAAGGAGCAGCAGCAGAAGTACCTGCCCCGGCTGGGTGAGCAGTTGCCTGTAGAGCCTGGTGGAAGGAAGACCGCCTCAGTGATCTAGAACTTAGGAATGGGACTGTCCCCAGAGCCTGCCTTCTGTCCCTACCTCAAGGATAGCCCCAATGGCCACCCAAATCCCCTGCCAGACCGTGGGCCTCACCCCTACATCTGATCCTGACTGACCCCTCCCAGGTCTCTCTTGACTGTGCCCACTTCTTACCACTATCATCTCCCTCCTGATTTGCTGTGTTCCCCCATCCCAGCCCAAAGTTTAAAGTCTTAATTTCTTGACTGGGTCCACAAGGCCCCTCATGAGTAGGCAGGCCTCTGACCATTCCACCTCATCTCTGGCTATTCTCTTGACTGCTCCTCCTCAGCCAGACTCAGCTACTTGGCGTTCTCCAAATGTACCACTGTGCCTTTGCACATCTGTACCCTCACAGGAACCACTCTTCTCCACCCTTCCTCCTCCTGCTTAACTCCTTTTCACTGCCTTCAAGACAGATTATCTCTTTCCTGACTCCTGTGGGGCCCCTCCCCATCATGGCATTGTTACTGTGGCCGGGGGGAGGGGTGTCCCCACACACCACCACCACCTGAGAGTGCCATGGGGACAGAGTTGGGTCTGCCTTTGGCCTGGCTTGACGGGGAGGCTGACAATTAACATTTGAAGAGGTGAGTGGGGGACAGGCAGACCTGTGACCCTGTCTTGTCCCTGCAGCCAAGGGGGAGCTCCTGGGCTGCTTTGGGCTCACAGAGCCCAACCATGGGAGTGACCCTGGCAGCATGGAGACCAGAGCCCGCCACAACCCATCCAACAGGAGCTACACCCTCAATGGGACCAAGACCTGGTGAGGGGTCTGGGCGTCTCAGGCAGGTGGGCAGGGGCAGGAGGGAGGCGGCCAGACTCTCAACTGCCCATCCCTCCCCCCAGGATCACCAATTCACCTGTGGCTGACCTGTTTGTCGTATGGGCTCGGTGTGAAGACAGCTGCATTCGGGGCTTCCTGCTGGAGAAGGGGATGCGGGGCCTCTCAGCCCCCAAGATTGAGGGCAAGTTCTCCCTGCGGGCCTCGTCCACAGGCATGATCGTCATGGACAATGTGGAGGTGCCGGAGGAGAATGTGCTGCCTGATGTATCTGGTCTGGCGGTGAGCAGCGGCCACCTTGGGAACTGGTATCAGGTCACCTGCTGGTTCAACTTCCTTGGGCAGGCCCCATGCTGGGGACCCAGCTGTGGACCAGACACAGTCCCTGTGCTTGCAGAGCCCACACACAAGTGATTCTGAGAGCTTCTGCCTGGCTCACTGATGTTTGGAAATTGCCCCTTTGGGGTGACTATTTTCCTTATACTGGCTCTGCCAAGGACACATACAGGCTGAACCAGTTTAATCCTTTGATACACGTGCATCTTTCTGTCTCCTTACATCATTCCCTAGATCTGAGCATCCAACCCAGATCCCGGGCTGGGTAGAATTGTGTGTGCATGAGCTTTGGTGCCAGGACCTTGTGTGATTGAAATGGCTGCCCTGAATCCCTCGGTTTATAGTGACTGCACATCTGAGGAGGGGGCTTCCCCCTAAGTTAGTTCTGCCCAGGGCTTCTCAGCTCCTGGGTGGGCCTGAGGCCTCTTTCTTGACCCTACAGGGGCCCTTCGGCTGCCTGAACAATGCCCGGTTTGGCATTGCCTGGGGCGTGCTCGGAGCTGCTGAATTCTGTTTGCACACGGCCCGGCAGTACACCCTGGATAGGTGTGTGGGGCTGCCATGAGATCTCTTGGGAGGTGTGGGGGGCACGGGCTCCATCCCTTACCCTACCTCCTCCCCTGCCTACCAGACTTAAGTTCCCCACTCAGTGAAATGGCCTGGGAAGTCCTAGAGCAGTGAGGGGTTGACTGCTCGGTGACATTGGTGATACTGAGCAGTGACAGGGCCAGGGTGAACTCAGTGAGGACTTGAGGCGGCCTGGGAAGGCTTCCTGGACTTGGGGGGGGGGTGAACATGTCCACACTTACCCTGAACTTGCCCACTTAGGATCCAGTTTGGCGCCCCACTGGCCAGGAACCAGCTGATTCAGAAGAAGCTGGCAGATATGCTCACTGAGATCGCGCTGGGCCTTCACGCTTGCCTGCAGCTTGGACGCTTGAAGGATCAAGACAAGTAGGGGCTGTGTGTTGGGGGAGCAGGGGGTAGGCAGCAAGGAGGGGACCCTGTGTCCCTCCTGGACGTGGTGGTGGCTGGCCCTGGGGAGAAAGGTCTTTCGTGCCTGGTGGCCCCTGGGGACCCGTCCCTTTCCCTCTTGGCCTTGATGGGACAGGACTGCCTGCCTATCCCTCACTGGGAGCTCAGTGTCTGCTGCTGTGACTATAACTTGGGGAATTTTCTCCCCTGGCTGGGTTTGCCCAGGGCTTAGGGATGCCTCAGGTCAGTTGTGATCCCATACTTGTGTGACGTTTCTCTGCTACTCCCAGGGCCACTCCGGAAATGGTCTCCCTGCTGAAGAGGAATAACTGTGGGAAGGCCCTGGATATCGCCCGCCAGGCCCGAGACATACTAGGGGGGAATGGGATTTCTGATGAGTATCACGTGATCCGGCATGCCATGAACCTGGAGGCTGTGAACACCTATGAAGGTAGGGGCTGGGTCTCTGGGGGGAGGAGTGTCACAGTGGCCTCAGCTGTCTAGAGAAGGGAGGGGACAGCACGCCTGAGTCCTGCTCCCAGCTGTCATCACTAGCAGTGTGACCTGGGGCAAGTTCCACCCGTGTTCTTCATCTGGAGTGGCTCACACAGGGACTGGGGAAGTGAAATGCTCTCAGCCCTTTCCCCCATGGTGATTGGGAGGAGGGGTGCTCCCCAGATTGCTTTACTATCTCCTCGGACACCCCAGAGTGGGGCACAATGCCTAGTGAGCTGGTGGGTGCCAGGGAGCAAAAGTGCAGCTACACACAGGAATCACGACTCCATTTATATTAAGAGAAAAAAGATAAATCATTGTCAGGCTGTGGCGTCTGCCCCTGGCGACTGGTTGTAACTTGCATGGGGCCCAAAACACTTTCCTCATGGGAAAACAAACATGGAAAAAGACAATTAAAAAAAAAAAAAGTACAATCTCGTGTGAGCCAGGCAGAAATAGGGAGCGATGTAAAGGGGTACAAGTGCTCATCTTGGGGAGAAAGTGGGACCATGTCAGGCCTGAAGGGAAGTGTAGCAACCTGGGCAGAGACAGTGAAATAGCTTCTGTGTGCTATTCTGGATGGGACATTCCAGAAACAGCAAGAGGGAGGGCTGGGGTTGGGGGGATCCTACTGGTGTGGGAATGACCCTGAGGGCAAGCAGAGGGGGGGCCTTCAGGGAGTTTTATGCAGGGGAGGGATGGGGTCAGATGTGCACTTTGGGAAGTAAACATAATTATTTTGCTCCATAAAAGGGAGGTAGTAATCTCGTCCACCCCGTTAAACTGAGGAAGAGCAAAGGAGAGCGCTGAAGCTTGTAAAAATGTTACCCAGACTTGAGAGTGTGGGATGTGGGGTGGCGGCTTTAGGATGGGGGAGATCAGCTGGGACAAGCAATTTATCTGATGTTTGCTTTCCCATCCCTTCTGTAGGTAAGAAAGGGCCTGACATATTTCCACAGAGCTCATCAGCTTTCTCAGCCTCTGTGGGAAAGAAGCGTGAACGGGTTGAAAATCAAACGTTTAACCAACTGTGCAGGGTCGGGTGGGGTGAATCGGCCAAGTGTGGGGAGCACCAAAGCTGGGCCCATTGCCAGGGCTGGACTTGAAGTTTTGGGTCTAGCACAAGGATTCTAGGGGTATTTTTTTTTTTTTTTTTTTGCCAAGATGCATTACGGAACTGTGAAAAACAATTTTCTCGGCATGGCCCAAATGGTGGCCTCTTAGCTTTCTCTTGGTGGCTGTCACCAAGAGGGGACTCTCTCCCGGTAGCTCTCAGCATTCGCCATCTTTGTGGGCCTGTTCTTCTTCCAAAGTAGTAGCCTAGGGGGAGGAGGGACATGAAGATTGACTTTAAAGGGAGGTTGCGAGCTCTTCAGACTCCAAACCAACTCTGTATTTATCTCGTCCAGGCACTCATGACATTCATGCTCTGATCCTTGGAAGGGCAATCACAGGGATCCAGGCGTTCACGGCCAGCAAGTGAACATACTTCACCCAGGAGCCCAGATGGTCTCCAGCTCCTTCCCAGGGAAACGCTGTGCTCTGAGCTTACTCAGGGAGGTGGCAGATGGAGCCAATTTTTATAGTGGGAAGTGAGAGACACTGATTCTTAATTATCAAAATTTTCCCTTTGAAGTCATTCAAATGTGTTCCTTAAAAAGATGGGACTCTCTGTACCAAGTTTCTCAACCCACTTTTAACCGTGGACGGGGATGGATTCCACTTATCTTGGAACAGAAGCTTCTCTTGACAGGGGAGCAGGAAGACGGAAGGAGAGTGACATGGAAGCAACCTCTGGTGTCTGACTGAGCAAATCCCCCACACACCAAGAGTTCACTGTGTGCCCTCTGACCCTCCCATCTTGAGGGTAAGTGCCTTCTGCTGGATGTTGGAGCAGAATGAGAGTGAAAGAGAGAATAATAAAGTCTGCATATCTGACCCCAAGGTGTGGGCCACTTTTAATTGTAACCACCCACAAAGTCATTTCAGTCACAGGAAAAATGTGGTGACTGTGAGGTGACTGGGTATGTGGTAGGGATTTCCCCCTTAAGTGGTGTGGCCTGTGTCAGAGTCTTTGGCTCTGCTGTAATAACCCTGGATAGGCACTGACCAGGGCTTAGGGCTGTAGACACTGTCCTTTCTGTCACCACAGAGCTGACCACACAGTGGTGGGAAATAACAACTGTCTAGCTTCTTAGCTCAGACACACTGCCTCAGAGGGAGCCAGGGGCCACAGGTGAGGTGGCAAGAGCATCAAGGGTTTTGCAGTGATAGTGGCCCCTGTGGGGTTTAGGGCTGGGCGCGGTGCTAACGTCCTTGGTTTGTGTTGACATTTACTTTCGTCTTAGCCTTTCTCAGGTGGCACCCACATGCATGTGTTTAGTCATACCTCAGGCTGGATGCACAGGTCTTTGTACACGGTCTCCACGGTGTGGCACACTTGTTTGAGCTCTGTTTCCAAATTGCTGATCTTTGTCATTTTCTGGGTGAACTCTTGGAGCTTGTCCTGAATGATCTTGTTATGGTGATTATAAATCTGATACATCCTCTCCTCTAGCTTTTCTGTCAGGTCTGAAACCTTTTAAAAAATAAAGCATGCTTTTAGAAAATCAAACAAGAGGCATCACAAGACATTTGTTTTAAGTGGCTTGCTAAGATTTCTGCAATTTATTTTATTTTTAAAGATTTTATTTATTTATTTGACAGACAGAAACACAGCGAGAGAGGGAACACAAGCAGGGGGAGTGAGAGAGGGAGAAGCAGGCTCCCCACCGAGCAGGGAGCCCGATGTGGGGCTCGATCCCAGGACCCTGGGGTCATAACCTGAGCCGAAGGCAGACGCCTAACGACTGAGCCACCCAGGCGTCCCTGCAATTTATTTTATAAAAATGGTAAAGGGGCGCCTGGGTGGCTCAGATGGTTAAGCGTCTGCCTTCGGCTCAGGTCATGATCCCAGGACCCTGGGATCAT